CTGGTTTTCTAAGGCAAGCTAGATTTAGGGAACCATTGCATTGGAAGACAGATTTCATAACTGCATTCTCATCTTTGGTTTGCCTGAGACATGGAACATTTCTAATTGTCAGGTCATACAGAAGATTTACTGACACATGCACTGCTGGCCCCATCAGCAGAGTTTATGATGAAAATGTTTGGAGACGGGACAATGAACTTTCCTTTTTACATGCTTCCAAGTGATACTGCTGATGGTGCTAACACATTATTTCATGCCATATTTCCATCAGATGCAATGTGGAAGGTAGAAACCAAACAGATGTTGCAAATTTTTTTCTTCTTGCAATAACAGATGATCCAGCCCTGCACCTGCTCATCTTCAGCCTGTTTCTGTCCATGTACCTGGTCACCATCATGGGGAACCTGCTCATCATTCTGGCTATCAGCTCTGACTCCCACCTCCACACCCCCATGTACTTCTTGCTCTCCAATCTGTCCTTCACTGACATCTGTATGAGCACCACCACAATCCCAAAGATGCTGGTGAACATCCAAGCACAGGATCAGAGCATCACCTACATAGGCTGCCTTACTCAGGCCTGCTTTGTTTTGTTTTTTGCTGGTTTGGAGAATTGTCTCCTGGCAGCAATGGCCTATGATCGCTATGTGGCCATTTGTCACCCCCTGAAATACACAATTATCATGAACTCTCGCCTCTGTGCTCTCCTGGTTCTACTTTCCTTGCCCATCAGTATGCTGAATGCCCTCCTGCTTACTGTGTCAGTGCTGCGGCTGTCTTTCTGCACAGATCTGGAAATATCCCTCTTCTTCTGTGAACTTGCTCAAATCATCAAACTTGCCTGTTCTGACACCATCATCAATAACATCCTCATATATGTTGCAGCTTTCATATTTGGTGGTGTTCCTTTCTCTGGAATTGTTTTCTCATATGCTCTAATTGTCTCCTCTGTTTTGAGGATTCCATCAGTTAGAGGAAGGTCTAAAGCCTTTTCAACGTGTGGGTCTCACTTGACAGTTGTCTCCCTGTTCTATGGGACAGGATTGGGTGTCTACGTTAGTTCTGCAGTTATGGATTCCTCCAGAAAAACTGGTATGGCTTCATTGATGTATTCTGTGGTCCCTCAAATAACAAACCCCTTTATTTACAGTCTGAGGAACAGAGATATGAAAGAATCATTAAGGAAGTTCTTCAGTAGAGTGTCTTCTGTTCTGTGATATGTCTTTTGTTTTGAACTGGGATTTACACAGTAAGCCACAGTGACACAAATACTGGTGTGTTAGAATGCTTGATTCTTCTATCACCAAGTTCATCAAAATGACCAGATGATGATAAAAAGGCTAAGTATATTTCAACTTTGTAGTTCATTCAACTTTGTATTTCATGTATTGGTTCTGCCTATCCAGGGACAAGGTTGTCTTTCCATTTATGTGTGTCCCCTTAGATCACAGTTCTCATTGTAGAGGGCTTTCACTTCCTTGCTTTAATACTTAGGTATTTAATTGTTTTTGAAACTATTGTAAATG